ATTGCTAACAGTAGAAAAAGACAATCTACATTTTTTGGTCATGTGGTGGGACAAAGAGAACTGGAGTACTTCGTGACAGCAAGAAAGTTGGAGGGAAGAAGAGGCAGAGTTAAACCGACCAACAGGTGTTGAGCAGTTTGACACTATGGCATGGAGGACAATCTGTGTCAGAGCTGATTGACAGTACACGAGGCAGAAGGTTGTGGGTAGACATAACTACCAACGTCACACGACATGGACTTTAAGTAGAAGTGTAAAGTGAAAGCAAGGATTACTGCCATTATGTTCCCGCCTCGCCATGACTCGCATTCACGCATACACACAGATAAAACGTCTGCACAGCTGAAAACCATTAAAAATACTTTGTGTAATACATACTGTTTACAATTAATGCAGAAATATATATTTATATAACAAATTGCAGACATCATTGATTTGGTCACAATCTTGAAAAAAGCGCGGTAAACATTCAGGAAATAACCTAACACAACACAAACTCTGGCTAGAAAGCTCCAGGGCGGGAAAGGAAAAGACACACACTTGCACAACAAAACAATTCCACTAACGTCCTTGGGGACTAATGAAACATTAATTGAGCACAGCGACAAATGCATTTATTGTATCTGATTGGTTAAAAAAGACTTTCCTTGAAGGTGGCTCATGCACAGCGAGCCTTGTCCCACTCTTCCATAATTTGAAAAAAGGGGGAGGGGCGGAATTGGATTAAGTTTGAACCTCTCTTACTCCCAAACAATTGACAAGAAAGATATCAACCCTCATAATTAATCTATAGACCTTCAATTTGTAAATATTTCTTTACATATTTCGTTTTATACATTTAAATTGGTCATTGGCAGGCAGTATTGATGATAATAATTGCGTACTCAAACAAGGATTAAATATTTCATCCCGCCCCTTGAGCCGAGCCCCTAGAAGATTAAGGTTGCTACGTTTTTACTCACGCTCCCTCCCCACAAAAATTATGGGTTGCGGAGTTTCTGATTATAACAATCCCCGTGATAAAGTTATTGCCCCTTGATGATGAGAAAATTGGGTCGACGTGGCAAAGAGTCTAGATAAAATATAGATCAAGCCCTATATGCCCTATACGCCTAAAGGCACAGAAAATGGTCCTTTACTTACACTTTCTTGCTTCTGATATGAGAACATGTCAGCACTGAATCAATAAACTGCATACAAAACACAGCAAATAAAATGGTTTGTCCACATAGAGAGAATGCTAGGCGACACTATACCTTACAAGGCATATAGCAGTTGTGGAAAGAAACGTAAAGAACTATATACAGGAAGAAAGAAATGGAGAGAAAACATCAGTGAAACTCTACAACGACACAATGTGGGTATGGCTGAGGTGTTGAGGCAGACGAAAAGGGAACCGTACATCTCCCTTGACGTCCTCCTTAATAAAACCTTCCTTGTATTCGTTTAGAAATGTTTTTTCGTCTAGTCAAAGTTTCTGTTGTGTTTCGTTACTTATTTACACAGATATGTGAACTGTTAAACAACATCAACGAACTACATACAGACTATAATTATTTTGCAACGCTTTCCTACAATGAGATACACAAAAATATAAACTACAAGAATATGTATACATAGACTGTACACTTTTAAAGAGAGAAAATATTAAACAGGAAGCTCCATTCTTTAACAGAAACCACGGTGGCGCAGTGACTAACTGTTTGCCTGCCTGTTTCAAGGTCTTAATTTCGAAGCTGCATTCAGGGGGAAATTTATAACTGATCCGAACTGTTTGGAAGAGGTGTACTAAATTACATGGTGTCCCAAAAGTTTCCACACATAAGGGGAAACTTTTTAAATTTTATTTTTTAAAAAGCATTTTTAAAATATCAAAACACGTATAAGCACAGTAATGAAAGCCGTCCCAATATTGAACACAATTGTTCGTTATTTTAAAACTCAACTCGACGGTTGTAGGGGGACCTAATATAACCTAACGGTTGAACGGGGTTTCTGAGACTGTCCCCAGGGTGATTCTCCTCCGAATGGTGGCACTTTGTGTCAGTAGATGTTTATCATTTGTGTTCCGTCCTGGTGGGATTAGACGTCACTCACTCTCATTAGCACAGCTAGAGTTATGCATGCAATGGCGTGTTTTCTCCCATCCTGTGTATGGAAACTTATGGGACACCGTGCAGACATCAGAAAATGTTCTTGGGAGTAAACGCAGCCGCTTGATACTGACCACACCAGCCACCGAGTGTCATTTGGTCTGTATAACTGATGTGGATGGAACACCATATGCTCGCCGCTTTTATGTACCATAAATTGTTGGGAAATATTGTAAATTACTTGGGACCCTTTTTCTTCTTCTCCCTCATAGCATTCACCGGGTGTAAACTCCAGGGGGGGGGGGGGGGGGGTTCTGTTTGTTCGTCCACTTCTGGACTGTTAAAGAACTCGATTTTTTCGTGTACCTCCGTTTTACAGATCTGGCTTATCTGTATGCAAACTGTTGGTTCATTGATACACAGGAAGATGCATTAGTACTTCGAAGGAAACACCCAATTAGTAGTTTTTTTTAACAATATGCTTGTTAGGCCGCGATGGTCTTGTCTCGCACAACATCCCCCCCCCCTTTCCCCACCAAACGACCTTTCCAATAAGGCCCCGAGACACACACGGAGAACGTTGCATCCGTTTTTTTTAAGGTGTTTCAAACGTTTAGCCACACCGGTAGGAAAAATAACCCGGCCACTTTTAACAGTTCAACTGCAACTATTGTCTGGACAGGCAATCTAACCATTCACTATACCATCGTTACATGTATATCAATATACTGTCTTTATGTTTACATTGGAATGTATGCAGTTCAACAGGTCACATTAAATGCCAAAACAAATAAACAACATTTATATCGAAGAGGAAATAAACTGGAGATTATGACGGAAACCAGAATGGGGTAGATAATACATTGTCGTTCATTTTAAAGAAATAACTTCTCGAATCACTCACACCAGATTACATCTTACGGTGTAACCGTTTTGTGGTGCTCCAGTATAAATGTTCTGTATGGCTGTGTGTCTGGTTGAATATGGCTTCTGACATTGATAGCTTATCTAGCTTTGTTCCACATCTAACTTCAATTACAGACTAACATAGCATCGTTTCCGCTTGGTAAAGCCCGCACAAACACGAACGCTTGGATTTATTCGCAACATAATATTTGGTTCATGGCATTGTGGATAAGAAGGTGTATCTGCTGTTATACAAGGTGCTCGCCATTAAGTCTTGAGCTAAACTATGAAGCAAATATAACAATTTGAAAGTGTATATGGTATTTGTGCATGTTCAATATAGCTACCACTCGAGTTCACACACGTCTGACTTCGAGTATTAGCCTGAAAATCATCATCATCATTGTCTTGTTGTGTCATTACATGTCACATAGGGCTCGCAGTCTATTCCTCCATTCTGTTCTAGCCAAGGCAATATTTTTTTATATCTATGATGGAATCCAGTCCAGCACCTTTGACATCACTCAGTAACGTTCGTTTTAGGGTTTCGTTTGGAATTCCTCGCTTCCTTAATCTCGTTATTTCCCATTTTAGTGCCTATCTGGGGATTCTCTACATTCTCTGTTCCTTTCTTTCTAGGCTGTGTCCAGTAGAGCGCCATCTTCCTTGTCGTTGCTACCAGTGGTTACCCAGGCATGTATCTCATTTATCTTAAATTGCATCCAATTCTACGTTCAACATTTCCCTTGGAAGTTCTTCAACATACTAGGCGAATAGAATACTCGCTATCCACGTAGTTACTTTTCATTTCTGGTCAATAAGTTCTTTGATCTTGACATACTTCTGGGGCAGATTACTGATGATCGTATCACTGGTCTTAGGAAGATTATCCTTTTATTTACCATAATTAAAACAAATTACATAACTATACCAATGACAGCGATAACGAAAATATTTGTTCCATATCTAGAGTTTTTTTAAATAAAAAATTGTTTTTCTTGTCACTGTAAAATTAATAATTTTATCCCAGAATGGTCTCTAGATTGTCTGTTATGACAATCCCCTGAAGCAGCAGATGTGGTTAATAGGTTATGTTGCACTTTCTGTATTCCACTGCAAGAGAATACTTTTAGCGTAAACATGAGCTTTGATGGTGCCAGGATTCATTTAAACATTTCCCAGCTACTTGTTAAATTATCAGTGCAGAGACTTGTCGAACTTCCTGTACACATACAGTGGAACAACCAGCGAGATTTCATTATTTGCTGAATACTCTGGCTCCACTTTAGATGGAGCCGTTCAACCAATGTTCAATTGTCTGCCTTCAAGACAAGTCGATACGAAAGGTGTTTGGTTTAGAAGGGTCTAACTCAGTGCCCGATTTAAGCCACAGCTTGAGGCCTCACAATCTGCATGCCTTCATAAGACAGATCATAATAATAATAACAATAAAAATAAAAATAATAATTGCGCACTTAAACAAGGTTTAAGCGCATTGAGCCCCGCCCCTAGAAGACCTGCTTGGCTAAGAAGGATCTAGCTGTGCTGGATTTAGGTATAAGCTGACTAAGCCACACATTAAGGCCTCACAATCTGTAGGGGCCTATACAATTCCTCTTTTTAACAAATGCAATATTTCAAAAATATTTGTTAAACCCCAGAATTATTCAAACTTTATTATTATTATTTAAGGTATATTAATTAGTTCAGGTTTTTTTTTAAATTCTAACTTGTTGCACTCTATATAAAGTATATAAAATAAACCGGTTGCTATACGTAAAACTCCAACTTTTATTATATTATATATTTTTTAGAGCTTTCTGAAATTAACTGGTGTAAATTAAAACTATAGGGGCTTCGGGGCTTTATAAATCTACGGGCCTCATCGAATCTAAATCAGGTCCTGTTCTGGTGGAGAGATACTAAGTGATGCTTCTGGTTCAGGATGGAGTAGTTTGGATCAAATCCACTTCTATGATACAAGTAGGAGAGACATCATGTTCAGAACAGTGTGCAAGTCTTTGCTGGAGCCATCGGGTCCCCGACTTTACATCCAAATGTGTCTCTGAATTCCTGAAGCTGGGAGACAGCCATGTTTACCCTGGCAACAGAAAACATGGCGTTACTGTGGAAATTATAATTTCCAAAATATGCAACATTTATCTGCTTCTTCTTTTGTCAATATTGGCTAATGCCGCTAGGCGTCGCAGCTCATCAGACGATCGGCAGCCAAGCCACGAATAATATAATTACATGATGATGATGATGATGATCATCATCATCATCAATGTCATAGTCTCATAACACTGCATGTCGTTGGGTAATCACCTGCTATTTACTGTGAGATCAGAATCCCCCCTAACCCCACCCCCCGTTTTTCCCTACCTGTATCAGCAGCGAACTTTACCTTATCAAACCTAGGGCCAGTCCAGCAAGCAACTTTCTGTGTCTGGATCCTTTCTTGCCGCCCCCCCCCCTTTTTCCAGAACAATTTCCCCCTCTACTGAACCTAGCAGGATTATTTTCCTGAAGCCAGACATGGCCGTACCATTGCACTTTAGTTATTTTTACTGTTGTTAAAGAGAGTCGCCGTGGTATGGAGGCCCATCGCTCGCCCACGGATCAGAAGCTCGTTGGTTTAGTTCCTGACTGAGCCGGACTATTTTCAAAAACGACCTTGCCTTCCAGATTTACCCAACCTTCAACTGCTACTAGAAAAATTCCCGGAAATGTAAGGCGACAGATTTAATGTTGACCACAGCACACACACAGGACCGATTGGTAAATGAAATATAGGTCTAGGCCAATAGGGCAAAAACGCCTGAAGACTTTAGATTTTATTGTTTTTAACAGAGGTTCACAGTGGTGTTGTTGGCAACGAGCAAAAAGAGGTTCACAGTGGTGTTGTTAGCAACAAGCAGATAGAGGTTCACAGTCGTTTTGTTGATGGCAACGAGCAGATAGAGGTTCACAGTGGTGTTATTGTCAACGAGAATATAGAAGATCACTGTGGTATTGTTGGCAACGATCAGATAGAGGTTCACAGTGGTGTTGTTGGCAACGAGCAGATAGAGGTTCACAGTGATGTTGTTGGCAACGAGAAGATAGAGGTTCACAGTGATGTTGTTGGCAACGAGCAGATAGAGGTTCACAGTGATGTTGTTGGCAACGAGAAGATAGAGGTTCACAGTGATGTTGTTGGCAACGAGCAGATAGAGGTTCACAGTGATGTTGTTGGCAACGAGAAGATAGAGGTTCACAGTGATGTTGTTGGCAACGAGCAGATAGAGGTTCACAGTGATGTTGTTGGCAACGAGCAGATAGAGGTTTACAGTGGTGTTGTTGGCAGTGAGCAGATAGAGGTTCACAGTGATGTTGTTGGCAACGAGCAGTACTTACTTATAATCTGATGGTGGGTCGATATAGAGGATTGCTTTCCTGGCTTTGGTTTAGC